CCCCTGCCGTACCGTCACCCGAAGGCGCAACGCCAATGACCGTACCGCTTGCACCACGCGCCACGATCTCGATGCGGTCGCCTATGGTTGGCACAGGCACATCGCGGCCAACCAGCAGGTCCAGCTCCAGCGCAGCCGGGTCAACGATCCGGAAAAGCGGCGCGGCCGCTTCAACTCGCGCCCCCGGAACAGCGTTGACCTCCGACACCACGCCGCCATGATTCGCGATCAGTTGCGCTTCGCCGCCCGCGCCAGCGAATGCGATACCTGCGGAAGCCAGTTCGGCCCGGCGCGCCATGGCCATGGCGTTGGCCTCAGCGGCCCGCGCCTGCGTTGCCTGCCAGCGGCTTCCGGCGATGATGCCGTCATCAAAGAGCGCCTTATCGCGGGCGAGCGATTGCTGCGCCAAACGCGCCTGCGAGTTGGCCTCCGTGAGCGCGCGGCTCGCTTCAAAGAGCTGCGGGCTCAGGAAACTCGCCAGCGGTTGACTCGGGCGGACGGTCTGCCCCAGTGACACCAGCGCGCGAGGCACCACGCCCGCGTACGGAGCCGCCACCACATATTGCGCATCCGGCTTGAACACGACACGTGCGTGGGTGCCGACTTCCAAGCCCCCAGAAGCTGCGACCGAGCTAAAGCGCACACCCAGTGCGCGCGCCTGTTCGGCCGACAGAGACACTGCCTGTGCCGCCGGTTGAGCAGTAGCCCAACGCACAGGAAATGCGGTCAGTGCAATCGATGCGCCAACCACCACAATTCGTTTGAGAAACATGCCTGACTCCAATCCACGAAGGCAACGCTGTCGGCGTCATCCTCCAACTGCGTCGCCTCCCGAAGCGGCACGAACACCGACTGCGGCGTGGCGCTTCGAGGCGACGCGAACAAGAATGTAGGAACAGTGGATGGCCAGCGGATAGCAATGCAGCTACCGCCTTGTGGCGTCGAGCGAACGTGATGGGTCAGAAGCCAATGCTCCTAACGAATTCATGATCGCTACGGTGGGCGTGATGGGGCTGTTGCAGATCAACTCAACGAGTGTTCTGCTGCACCGTGACGCGCGTGCCGTCCGCCTGCTTAGGATCAGCAGGCCGGTGGGGGAGCCTGCGCTGGAGGCGTTCGATTGATGCGATCGCGCCAGCGCGCGCGAATTGGTGCTGGCCGAAAGACTGGGCGTGATATGGCTGAACAGGCAAGCGCTGCCAGCAGAAGAAAGGTGAGTGCCGATAACCCAGGCCCCGCAGCAGCCCAAAGAAATCCGGCGAGATCCGATGGACCGATCGAGGGCTCTACATCAACCTCAAAGGGTTCCCTGCTCGTCAGAGCCAGCTCGCGATCAAGAGCATACCCCTCATGCGCGGAGGCTCGATGATGGGAAGATCCGAGGGATTGAAAATGAGAATCAACCGCGCCAGAAAGCGCGGTGTGCACGTGCAGGCCAGTCTGTTTCGGAATTCCGAAATGGCCGTGCAGAAGTGGGCTCAGCAGCTGCAGCAACACGATAAGAAGCAGCAACACAGCCCGAAGCGAGATGCTTAGGGTTGCACGTGACATGCGCGCATTGTAGCGCATGGCATCGCGTTGAATGTACTGATGGGAGATGCTGCCGTACTAAGGCGTACGCAAACGTACAACGTAAGCGCGAATTTAGCCAAACGTAGCCCCCAGTCGGGAGGCGGCAGATGATTGTGTCCATCACTATTTTGATGGACACAATTCATGACGCCAGAAGACCTGGAGGACTTGTTGCCGTTGAAGGTTCTCCATGTGGGGGCGAACGGCAAACGCACCTTTGACCCACGAGGCAACCGAACCTATCCGTGAAGAGCTCCCCTCTATAGCCCCTCTCCATTTTTTTCGGTTGCCACGTTTCTGCAAGCCCGGTAGATGGGATTCAACGTGTTCCGTTAGCTCTCTCAGAAAGACTGTCTCGTCAACTCCAGCTGCCTCTCAGCGCACCAACCAGCCACCTTTGCTGATTCAGTAGCGTTCCTGCCCTGTAATGGGCGACGCCGATGCGCTTGGCGATCTGATACGGATTCGTGCTGCATGACGCCGCAAAATCCGATCTTGATCGGAAATTCCCTTTTGAATCATCGCCTTAGGATCATTCTGGCGAGAAATACACGAATCCCGGCCAACCCTC